TTCCTCCATTTCATCAAGCATGTCGTTTGGTTACAAGTTTTTGCGCATCAATTCTTAAGCTTAGGATTAATATCACTGGCTTACATTAAAGATGACTGGATATTTCGCTGTCATTGAGCATTATGTGTTCAAGTTACCATTAATATTCTTTAAATTTGTAACAATCCTTGTTTCTTTAAATTCATAATTATCTATCAAATAACAATGAGTCTTTAAAGTATTATAGTATTACCTATCTCTAAGGAGAAAAAGTGGAGATTAGAACAAAGAATTCCCATTAATTTATAATATATGTTCATATTTTCAATTGACCATAATATCACCAATCATCCAGAACAGTGGTCTCCAATCTTGGCAACTTTAAGACTTGTAGACTTCAACTCCCAGAGTTCCTCAGCCAGCAAAGCTGGCTGAGGAACTCTGGGAGTTGAAGTCCACAGGTCTTAAAAGTTGCCAAAATTGGAGACCACTGATCCAGAGTTCCAACAATAATTTTCCATTATTAATTATTAATCCATATAGTGGTTAAGTATTTCTCTCTCTATATATATATCAAATGTTCATTACATCATCATTGATCCGTTTAATAGACCAAGGTCATGTTAAGCCTAACCCATAAACAACCCAACGTTGCTTAGTTACGCCTCTGACTACAGATATCCAGGGCGCGCTTCGGTTTTGCACCTTCAAGGCAAAATGGTGGATCAGAGATAACCGAGAGGGAAGGAATTAAACGGCCAGATTCTCCGCCCAGAGCGGCCACACCAAAGGTTGCCTTGACGCGCCCTCTATTGACCAACAATGGTAAAACGCCCGGAAAGGCTGCCGAACGTTCAGCGTTCAGCGTTCCACGGGTTCTTCTTTCTCAATATCTGATTGGCTGCAGGGGGGATTCGCTCTTAAAGTCTATCGGCAGCCGGTTTGCTCGGGATCCACCTCTGGCGCTGGTGGAGGTGGATCCTAAAAAGAAAAAGGGCTGCGACTTCCAAGGTTTACGGTTCAGGGCGCTACAGCCGGGAGAGAATGACTGAACTTCGGGCTCTAACTAAGGCCGAAGCGCAGAGAGTCGGACCCGACTGGAAGCACGCTTGCCATGCCCTTTTATACGCGCCCAACCCCGGGCGGCTTTTTGGCAAGATCCCGTTGCGTTTCGCAGTGTTGGTGAGGATTGATTTTAGCCAGCGTTGGGAGGGCAGGGTGGGGGTGGGTGGGGGAGAAGGGCTGGAATCTCTTGAGTAGGGAAAGAAAAAGGGGAGATCAGTTTAGGTTTAAAAGATTAGGTTTTACTAGAGTGTGTCATATAGAAAATATAGAAAATCTGGAATGGGATGGGCATCTTTTACTAGAGTGAATCTTATAGAAAATATAGAAAATCTGGAATGGGATGGACATTTTTTACTAGAGTGAATCTTATAGAAAATATATAAAATATATATATAAATATACAGTGTGTGTATATGCAGTTTTATTATATCTAACACCAAGGACTATATTTTTAAAAAAAGTTTTTTATTTTTAAACAACAAAGGACAAACAGTACATGAAACATAAAACCCTCATCAATTACATATAGCATGTCGTTAGGTTACAAGCATTTGTGCATCACCACTTTCAAGTGTGTTTAGGCTCTCTAACTATCCATCAAGCATACATAGATACGTTATTATCATTGTACATCATATTGTTCAGTTATAATTGATATTCTTTCATTTTAAGCAAATATTCTAGAAACTATATTCACATATATACCAATATTCTATTGCATACTTATTTGTCTATTTAATAATAATATTTCTTTATAGAATCACCTATCTCATTAAATTATTTTTGCAATATGAAAGAATTCTCCAACATTTTATATTTATGCATCACTACTTTCAATTGTATATAGAATCACGGATTATCCATCGAGTATACATAGGTACATTGTTATCATTGTACATCATATGTTCAACTATAATTGTTATTCCTTCATTTTAAAGCAAAATGTTCTAGATATTNTGACTCTGTAAACCGCTTAGAGAGGGCTGAAAGCCCTATGAAGCAGTATATAAGTCTAACTGCTATTGCTATTGCTATTTTACCTTTCTTAATTTGGCTAAGGCCAAACAATTGACTTCAGACCAGCACATCTGCATTCATCATCAAATTCTTTAGAATCCTTTTACCATGCTTCTCTGTGAAAAGACTGGCTATAGAATTGTGAACAGGGAGAAATAACATTGAAATCAGTCGCCATGGCTGTTTAGATTTTGGCATTCTGTTTATCCTGAAGTATACCATAACAGGATTACCCTTGGAGGCAACATGAGTTCAAAGTTTAATAACATTTGTATGCCGTCCAATCCCATAGGACTCCGGGCGGCTAACAATACAAATAAATCAAAAAGAAGGAAAGGAAAGAAAAGATAGATTTAAAACACACCATGCACTCCATTCCAGATGGGGCTGGATCATATTTTGGGGTCAACAGCCCCAGGCCTGCCGGAACAGCCAGGTTTTAGTGGCTTTACGGAAGGCTGAGAGAGTGGGAAGGGTCCGCATCTCTGCGTGGAGATCATTCCACTGGGCTGGAGCAGCTACAGAGAAAGACCTCCCCCGAGTACTCACCAACCGGCATTGCCCAGCCAACGGTACCCGAAGGAGGCCCAATCTGTGAGATCTTAACAATATGGATGTATTTTGTGTTGCTGATTCCAAGTGTCTTAACAACTGTATAATCATACCTCTCTAATGCCATCCTTGGATAGAACACTCTACTCAAAACAAGCCTATGTTCCTCACAGCTGCGGAGGCAGGTGGAATTGAAAGAGAAGGGAAAGCATTCTGTGCTGGGCTCCATTGAGAACAAGGGCAGTGATCACAAGACTAACCACGTGGGTGACTGTTGCCGGGATGACAGATGCCCAGGGACCCTTGTGGGCACCGGACCCGGAGCTGAAGACAGTGGAGACAGCAAGGACGTCAGTGAGGTCAGTGAGGCTACAGAGAGCACAGATGTCAAGGACAGCTCAGAGGCCTCCGACTCTGCCTCCTAGCAAGCTCTTTGGCTGTGCTCTTCACTTTCCAGCGATTGGACTTGTGTCGTCCTTGGCCAGGGGTTGGACCGCTACAGATGGGATTGGAAATAAAACTTTTGGAACCAGGTGTCTTGTGTTGTGTCTTGTGGAGAAGAAGTCGCCTTGAAAGCTGTGGGTGTGTATATGTGTCTGTCAGTGGTGGGTTTCAAAAATTGTTCGAACCTACTCTGTGGGTGTGGCCT